CATGTGTTACTTTACAGTACACTTGAGTACTGCTTCTTTTTTTTTTCCTCATTTATTTTATTGTTACATGATTTTGTCAAGGACATGGTCCGTGGATGGAATAACTATCTGGTTGAGAGCCAGTGGTAATTTAGCGCAAGTAGTGTCTGCAACTATTTTTCCACCAGCTTTTAATATTTTTTTCTTTATATCTGTTGCTGTGTGATTGAAAACACATGGAGGCAGAGAAAACGCCAGGTCATTTTTTTTTCTTTACGTTTCAGGGAAGATGTTTAGATGCGCAAATGTTCAGACAAACACTTCTGATTCTGAAAATATAGATATTTACAGTTGAAGTAAAACTTTTTAGCCCACCTGTGAACTTTTTCTTGTGGAGACAGTCTTATGTGTTTTATTTGGGCAAGAATAAAATCAGTTTAAAGGGAAAAGAAAATCAATGAATAAAAGCAGTTTTTAATTTTTTAAAACCATTTTAAGTTCAATATTATTAGCCCCCTTACGCAATATATTTGTTAGATTGTCTACAGAACAAACCATAAATTGTTAAACACAGGGTTTCTGCTGGTTAAATTTAAGACTTTTTAAGACATTTTAATTTTAGACTACACAGGGCTAAACGCTAAGGAGTTTTTCAAATGGTCCAGATGGAAAATATTTATATTTGCCCAATAAAAAAAATCATTAGAATTTAATATATTTAATAATACAATGATAATTTAATAATAACACATTTTAATATTTTAAATATTACTTATCAAAAATTTATTTTAAATATTGTGTCAAAACAAGCAAGCTCTAGTTGTAAACACATTTTCTCAACAGAAACTTTCTAAAAAGAAAGGAGTTTAAAAAACTATAATAAAGTAAATGTATGCACATCAGTCAGTCCAAGTCAGTGTCCTCAGGTGTCCCCAGCAGTAAATACATGGTGAATTTAAAGAAATATGAGGAAAATAATTATGGTAAATAGAGTTAAAAATAACATTTTTAAATAAAACGTTTGATTAAGGTGGATTGTGGGTGATTGTGGGTGTTAATGGGCAGATTGGGTAGCAATGCATGAACAAAGGAAATTTAAGACCTGTTAAAAAGATTTAAGACCTACAACACAACATTTCAGTAGATGTACAACCTATTAAGGCCTAAAATTCTGTTTTTGAGATTTAAGACATTTTAAGACTTTTTAAGACCCTACGGACACCCTGTATATAATGACGCATCAACCCAGGCTCATTCTGAAAACGTACCTCTATATACACTTCTGGAGAGTGGCAAATACATCCCAGGAAATATGTTCTTTTTTTGCAGTATTTGTTTTTGCGAATCCACCAGAGGGCGCTGTGTACACTTTTTTAGATCTCAAATTTCTCTAGCGAGTGCCATTCACGCCTGCTCATCTTGTGTAAATCCACCAGAGGCCGCTGTCGACTGACTGACTGACCTATCGCCTGACCCACCCTCCTCCTTCCCTGAACCCAACCGACACTGTGTTCAAAAGCACTGATTGACTAGCGCCCACCCACTTCCCTAAACCCAACCAACAGTGTTTTAAAAAAGCAATCCAGAAAAAGTAAAGCCCTCGCAGCTGCCTGATTTTTACCACATTTTCAGATTTTACCACATTGTCACCCTGTTATTTACTTGTTTTTTTTTTTGGCTTATGTTTTTGTCTTATTCTCTTTCTGGAACTGTTCTTTGCCGGAATTGAACCCCGTCATCTTGGCCAACTCCTCTCTGCGTCTCAAATCCGCCGTCGTACGCGGCAAACTGCCACTGGACAAACTGGTAACAGCCTGAAAGCAAGCCACACGGAGGTAACCGGTCAGCCGATAAGCGCGAAAAGGAACGGCATTATACCGCTTTGTAGCGTTCATTTTAAAGATGAAATGCGGCCTTACGTACCTTTGGCTACATAATTTGCAGTCTCCAGAAGTTTATATAGGCCTATGTTTTCAGAATGAGTCTGTGTTGATTTGCATAGTTAACCTAATTAACCCAGTTAAGCCTTTAAATGTCACTTTAATCTGAATACTAATATCTTGAAAATTTCTACTAAAATATTATGTGCTGTCATCATGACAAAGATAAAAGAAACCATTGATTAGAAATGAATTATTATAACTAATATGTTTAGAAAAGTGTTGAAAAAAATCTCTCCGTTAAACAAAAATTGGGAAAAAAAATTAAAAGAATTCAAATTAAACAGGAGGGCTATTTATTCAACTTCAACTATATACGCTGATGTGAAATGACATGTATATATATAGGTATCTTTGTGTGTGTGACTGCTCAATAGCACAAAAATGCTTGTGTATGCCAGTGTACTGGATGCCAAATTCTTGAACCCGATAGAAAATGTCACCCTGAAAGTTTCCTAGAAGCTTAACAGCACACTTTCACATTTGGAGAAAGTGAGTATAGACGTCTTTGCAATTTGGCATTAGACAGATTACAGCAGGCTGGCAGAAAGTGTTAGTGCAGGGACCTGGCAAAGTCAATTTCATCTCAGCGGTGTAGACAGTGTATATGTTCCTTGGAAATATGACTATGGCTGCGTCCAAAGCTCTAAAACATTCGGAGGCAGCTTTCCAAAGTAGGAAGGCATTAAGGGACATCTCGATTCAAATTCTGCTTCACTTGCTGCTTCTTGAGACAGCCTTCTTCTAATCGAATATTGTGAGGGCAGCATAGATTCAAATTAAGTTTATTTGTATAGCGCCTTTTACAATAATTATTGTTTCATGGCAGCTTCACAAAAGGTGCACACCATTCAGTCATTTTCTTTTCGGCTTAGTCCCTTTATTAATCAGGGGTCGGCACAGCGGAATGAACCATCGACTTATCCAGCATATGTTTAAGCAGCGGATGCCCTTCCAGCTGCAACCCAACACCGGGAAACACCCAGACACTCTCACATTCACACCTTGCATTCACTACGGCCAATTTAGCTTACTCTATTCACCTAAAGCTTATGTCTTAGAATTTGTGAAAAGCACAAACCAAGCATGAAGACAAAGGAATTGTCTGTAGACCTCAGAGACAGCTTGGTCTTGAGGCACAAGGCTGGGGAAGGTTACAGAAAATGTCTGCTGCTCTGAAAGTTCCAATGAGCACAGTGGCCTCCATCATCCGTACGTAGAAGATGTTTGAAACCACCAGGACTCTTCCTAGAGCTGGCCAGCCATCTAAGATGAGTGAACTTAGGAAAAGGGCCTTAGTCAGGAAGGTGATCAATAACCCGATGTTCACTCTGTCTGAGCTTACAGAAGGACAACCATCTGTGCACCAATCCACCAATCAGGCCTGTGTAGTAGAGTGGCCAGACGGAAGCTACTCCCTGCCTGGAGTTTGCTAAAAGGCATCTAAAGGACTCTCAGACCATAAAAAACAAAATCTGGTCTGCTGAGACTAAAATTAAACTCTTTGGAGGGAATGTCAGACGTTACGTTTTGAGAAAACCAGGCACCACTCAGCACCAGGCTAATACCATCCCTACAGTGAAGCATGGTGGTAGCAGCATCATGTTGTGGGGATGTTTTTCAACAGCAGGAACTGGAAGACAAGTCAGGACAGAGGGAAGGATGAATGCAGCGATGTACAGGGACATCCTTAATGAAAACCTGCTTCAGAGTGATCTTCCAGCAGGACAATGACCCAAAGCACACTGCCAAAATATCAATGGAGTGGTTCACAACAACTCTATGAATGTCCTTGAATGGCCCAGCCAGAGCCCAGACCTAAATCCTATTGAACATCTCAGGAGAGATCTGAAAATGGCTGTACATTGTCGCTTCTCATCCAACCTGATAGAGCTTGAGAGATTCTGCAAAGAGGAAAAACTCCCAAGGACAGGTGTGCCAAGCTTGTGGCATCATATTCAAAAAGACTTGAGGCTGTAATTGCTGCCAAAGGTGCATCAACAAGTATTTAGCAAAGGCTGTGAATACTTCATGTGATTTTTCAGCGTTTTTATTTTTAATAAATTTGCAACAATTTAAAAAACTTTTTTTCACATTGTCATTTTTTTACATTTGTCAGTTTTTGAGGAAATAAATGAATTTAATCAATTTCGGAATAAGGATGTAACATAAAAACAGAAAAAAATGTGGAAAGCGAAAAGTGAAAGAGGAAAGTGAAGCGCTATATCAATACTTTCCGGATGCTCTGTACCTGAGCTCAAACTCCCCTCTCGCCCTGCAAACGGGAGGGAACCCTGGGCTCAAGGATTTTATGAGCTTTCTTCTGGGACATCATGCCAAACAAGCTTTATAATCAATCATCAGCTAAGTGTGAACTCTCGAATTCTGGGTTAAATTGTAATGTTGTAAAGACGTTAATGGACAGCAGAAGAAAAGCCAAAGTGGTGTTGGTTAGTTTGCTCCTCTTTTGTTGCACTTTAATGACACCTCTTTTTAGTCCTGTTAGATAAAGCACATTCCAGAATAAAATATCGATATTACATCTATGTTAAGCTGCTTCCATGTTAATGCTTTGACATGATCTACGCTGCAAAAAGCACTGTAGAATAAAGATGAATAGAATTACATGAAGGTAAACCACAGCATTAGCAAATTTTCTTGGAAAACGAAACACAATGAGGTCATTTTCTGGCCATCCCGTTCACAGCACGCACCGAGGACGTCAAGGTCAGATGGACATGTCTGAAACAAATCGCGTTTCTCTCCAGAAAAAAGCCCGGGAAATTCTCTAAGCTTCCGTGAGGAACTTTTTTCTTGGGGGATTTTACACGGCATAGGAACCTGTTTCGCATTTGCCATGTAAGACTGATGCAGAAAATGTGGTGTGATTGTATGTAAGGGATTAGTTTAGCATTGGGCTGATAAAGCAGTGACGCTTCCTGGAAAAAAAAAAAAAAACATGACGCTTTGCTGTTGCTAATTAAGTTTGGTGAACTATTCCAAACATCTGCATCAGGAACTGCATCTTGGATCTGTTCTGTGATTTTCAATATAGTGGAGGAATCAAAGGATGACTCTTACTTTACGACCGGGTTGACCGGGTTGTCCAGGCAGACCTACTAATCCAGGGTCGCCCTGCAAAAAAGAACATACTGAAAATTACTCCTGATACTTTAAGGATCCAGCAATGTTGAAATATCCAGAGACTCTATACATTGTGATGTGTCTGCCCACTGGGTCTAAGACAGAATAGGCTTCAAAGTACTAATCAAATCAAAACTAACCATATGGTTTTGTTAGCTCACAATGCTAGCTTTTGTTGTAAACAATTCATCTGTGCATGTCACTAAAAAAAATTACTTTGTCCTTGTAATCTTTAATTGAAATCTGAAAATCCACCTTCTTTTGAGTTCAATTCTTCGATTACACCTGTCTAAGGTATCGGGCGTGGCTAACATAACCACGCCCCTTCAATAATCAGAGCTGACAACAAACAGAAATGGTGATGAGAAGGCGTCTGTTAGGTTGTAATAGCTCTCCTGAAACTATTTTCCCAGTTTTTCTGAACGAAATGCCTACTTTACTACATCCAATCTGTTCACAGTAGAAAAAAAACAAGCCACGCCCACTTTGCCATTTTCTAATTTAATATTTAATTTCTCTAGGAACTGCATTACAATAAGAAAAAAACGGTTGCAGCTTCCGGTTCATGTGGACTTTAAAAATGTGTTTACAAAGTAAGAATAATTTTGGATAAGTCATTTCAATATGTAAAGGGGTATTCTTTTAGTTTTTAAAAGAATCAAAGCAGCTTCAATTTGATTGTTTAATATGAAGATACATTGATTCTTTTATGGATGTTTTTCTTTACGTTCACTCAGTTTCTCTCTTTAAAATATTATTTGTATTGTTTTTTTTTTTTTTTGGACAAATCCTGATTTAAATAGCTTCAAATACAGGATGGATTTGGGTTTACTCCAGTCAACGCTAGCCATTCTGAAAATAACTAATAATTTTATGTATTAGTAAATGTTTAGAACATTTTTGCAGAGTTAAGATTAAGTGTCTAATATAATATTTAAACATTAAAAATAAAAAATATAACATATAAAAATAAAAAAATTATGTAATAATTAAAAATGTAAAATTTTTTATAATTGTTATGAGAAAAAAAACTAAGTTTTCAAGAATCAGTGTTCTGAATAATGCAGTTTTATCTGAACCAAAATGAAAAATGTTTGCACAATAATATTTTATAACCACTTAAAATTTTACATGAGCAAATCAGATTAAATAAATAAAACAGGAATTAATGTTCATAGCATATTATAACAATTTTATTTTTTACATATACAGCTTTTGAAGAAACAAAATGGGAGATAAATAAGAATTTATAACATTTATATGCAGAAAATTACCACATACCACTGTATATACAATATACACTCACCGGACACTTTATTAGGTTCACCTGTCCAGCTGCTTGTTACCACTAATTTCTAATCAGCCAATCACATGGCAGCAATTCAATGCATTTAAGCATGTAGACATGGTCAAGACGATTTGCTGCAGTTCAAACCGAGCATCAGAATGGGAAAGAAAGGTGATTTAAGTGACTTTGAACGTGGCGTAGTTGTTGCTGCCAGGCGCTCTAGTCTGAGTATTTCAGAAACTGCTGATCAACTGGGATTTTCACGCACAACCATCTCTAGGGTTTACAGAGAATGGTCAGAAAAAGAGAAAATACCCAGTGAGTAGCAGTTCTGTGGGCGCAAATGCCTTGTTGTTGCCAGGAGAATGGCCAGACTGGTTCGAGCTGATAGAAAGGCAACAGTGACTCAAATAACCACTCATTACAACCGAGGTATGCAGAAAAGCAGCTCTGAAAGCACAACACGTCTAACCTAGAGGTAGATGGGCTACAGCAGCAGAAGACCACACCGAGTGTCAGCTAAGAACAGGAAACTGAGGCTACAATTTATACAGGCTCAACAAAACGTTGCCTGGTCTGATGAGTGTCGATTTCTGCTGCGACATTCGGATGGTAGAGTCAGAGTTTGGCGTCAACAACATGAAAGCATGGATCCATTCTGCCTTGTATCAACAGTTCAGGCTGGTGGTGGTGGTGTAATGGTGTGGGGGAGATTTTTTTGGCACATTTTGGGCCCATTATAGTACCAATGATCATCGTGTCAACGCCACAGCCTACCTGAGTATTGCTGCTGACCATGTCCATCCCTTTATGACCACAGTGTACCTATCTTATGATGGCTACTTCCAGCAGGATAACCCGCTATGTCAAAAAGCGCAAATCATCTCAGACTAGTTTCTTAAACATGATAATATGTTCACTGTACTCAAATTCCCTCCACACTCACCAGATCTTAATCCAATAGGGCACCTTTGGCATGTGGTGGAACGGGAGACTCACATTATAAATGTGCAGCCGACAAATCTGCATCAACTGTGTGATGCTATCAAGTCAATATAGAGCAAAATCTCTGAGGAATGTTTCCAGTACCTTGTTGAATCTATGCCACGAAGGTTTAAGGCAGTTCTGAAGGCAAAAGGGGGTCCAACCCAGTACTAATAAAGTGTACCTAATAAAGTGGCCGGTGAGTGTACAATATATACAGTGGTCAACATTTGAAGTGAATCAAAATCTTTCATCAAAGTTGTCCTAAAACTATTAAGTCTAGTTTGCTTTATCTGATCTTCTAAACTTTTTTGATCCATCTCAAATATTGGTGACCTCTGATAAATAAGGGATAAGCCGAAGGAACATGAACATCGCTGATTATGGCAAATCCAGAGAATCAATAAACAATGAATAATGACTAATGAGGGATATGATAACACAGACCTTTACTCCACTTGGTGCTCTGCCAGGTGAGATTCCAGGATTTCCCTTTTTTCCCTGCAACACACAGAAAACAAATAACATGGAAGAGTTTATATACAGTTGAAGTCAGAAATATTAGCCCCCTGCATATATATTCCCCAATTTCTGTTTAGCAGAAAGAAGATTTTTTTTAACACATTTCTAAACATAATAGTTTTAATAACTCATTTCTAATAACTGATTTATTTATTATTTGCCATGATGACAGCACATAATATTTGACTAGATATTTTTCAAGGTGCTAGTATTCAGCTTAAAGTGACATTTAAGCTGCATTTACACTGCAGATCTTGATGGTCAATTCTGATTTTGTGACTGTATCCAATGTTTTTGACGACCTGCTTGCATCATCTTTTAAAAGTGACTCATATCTGATCGTCTGCATTTACACAGCACACGGCAAAGGCGAAATGACCAGGGGAAAAAAGAGTGGGCGCTGACTAACAGCTGATAATAAAAGAGTGCTTTTTTTCTCAACTCCTGTATTTAATGTGTTCACAGGGTTTCATTTTTTAAAATTCATTTTGACAAGTTGTTGTTTTACTATTATGATAGAAGTTCTTATTTGGCCATCCTCTTTTAATCTGGGACTTTTTAAACCAGTAGGCATCTCAATGTATTGTCCATGGCGTGATTTATGCACGTAATGTATGCCATAGTTTTATAATTTTTTACGTTGGTTATGTGGCGGATGTTGCTCTCTCTCTCTCTCTCTCTCTCTCTCTCTCTCTCTCTCTCTCGCTCTCTCTCTCTTGTTAATATGCTTAATACATGTGCTATATGACAATATAAAAGCGTGTTTAGTCTTTGTGTATGAGATTTAAAGTTTGGGTTTTTAATGATGCGCGACTCGCATTGACAGGTGAAATCGATCTACCTGCTTACACTGCAGATACGAGGACACAAATCCGATTCATATCGGATAAAATTCCACATATGAACAAGGCCTGAATCTGACTTGAGTAAATCGGAATCCATGAGATTTTTTTCTTGCTTACACATATGGGCAATATGCGATCTGTGCCACAGAAAAAAAAAATCGGAATTGAGTCACTCGAACCATGCAGTGCAATTGCTGCCTTAGAGGCTTAACTATGGAAATCAGGAAAGTTAGGGTAATTAGGCAAGTCATTGTATTGTTCTGTAGACAATCGAAAAAAAAAATTAGATTAAAGGGACTAATAATTTTGACCTTATGGGTTTATTTTTTTTTTTAATTAAAAACTGCTTGTATTCTAGCCGAAATAAAACAAATAAGACTTTTTCAGAAAAAAAAAATCTTAGAGGAAATACTATGAAAAATTCCTTCCTCTGTTAAACGTCATTTAGGAAATAATTTTGGCTTCAATTGTAGGTAAATTAATACAATTAAATTGAATCGACTATACTTTTCAAACTACCCACAGAGACACACTTAACTTGCCCTTACTTTGCCAGTTGTGACTAATGTATGCGCATCACACAGGAAATGAGGAGGTTATTAGGAGTCATTGTGACCCCTGGTCGCAAATTCATTACAAACAGAAGACTGCAACAGGACTCCATGCAGATTTGTCCTATATAGTCTACATGGATAAGAGTAATGAAGGCTTGCAAGGAAAGGAGTGCTGTTTATAAAAGAGAGTGACCCATGTACGCTTGTGAGAATAAGTTTACAGTAAGTCTCTGCAGTGACACTGGGGTTCACAGACCACATTCTTCTGCCTTTTCGGGCAATGGGATGAAGCTGTGTTTTATGGTTGTGAGTCAAACACATCTTTAATCCCTTTAATTCAAGTAGGGTCACTTTTCTAGAGAATAAAGAACGAAAAGCAATCTGTATTTTTTTTAAACGGGTAGTTCACCAAACAGTCAAAAAATGCACAGCTACTTACAAAAAATGAAATGAATCAACACAATTCTTGAGTTTTTGAGGATAACTTAAGTGTTTTATGTTCAATCCACTTCAATTTGTAAAAAAAACTATTAAGTTGACTTAATTGATTAGTGTTGGGACAACATGAAGGATTTTTTTATAGTGAGAAATGAAAATTCTGCCATTGTTTACTCAACTTTTGCTCGTTTCAAACATGTTTGAGCTTCTTTCTTTCGTTGAACACAAAAAAAACATATTTTAAAGAAAGCTAAAATTCAATTCATCTTTATTTTTATAGGCCTCTTACAATGTAGATTGTGTAAAAGCAGCTTAACAAAGAAGTTATAGTTCATTAAAACAGTCAGTTATGCCGAGTTCAGACTGCATGATTTTCAAAGTAGTCGTGTCACAGATGTTTTCACACTGCTTGACTATCTGGGCTAGCGTTTCGTCGCTGCTTTGTTTATACTGCAAGATGGATCGGTGACAGGGACTTTCACATTGCATGACTTTACTATAGGAAGAATCGCCGACAAGTTCGTCCAAACTACGTCTCACAGCCAAAAACACGTAGTATATCTTTTGTTATTAACTACATAATGAGAAAGAAGCCTTTAATGGGGTAGAACATGTACATGTTTGCTCACCTGGGTTTAAAGGGAATTAGCCATTTCTCCTCAACTTAAGTTGATAATAAACTAATTTCTTTCTGTATGAAACGTCAAACAGACACGGTTGCTCCTGAGTCCTGTCAAACCTCCACTAGTTTTTCCTCCATTTCGTGGGTCCAAATAAACCGAAAAAGAGCGCTTTTAACTTCTCCCGCAGCCTCCCGCTGGCCTGCAGCAGGTGTACACACACGCACACACAAGTGAATGCCGCTCTCTCATTGGCTGTAGGCGATCGCTGATGTTTTTTTCAGTCAAAACTCAATTCACACGGCATGATTTGAATCGCCGACAGCTCCAGATATTTAGCATGCCAAATATCTAGCAGGCATCGGCGACTCATCGGCGATTCTCTCAGATCGCGTCTTTGATAGTTCATACTGTGTGATTGTCACTCACGCGCACGAGCAGCGATTTGCCTGTGATTTCAGGAATTTGTCAGCGATTTCTCAAAACCTGTCGGCGAGCCAAAATTGGGGCTAAAATCTTGCAGTCTGAACTAGGCATTAGGGCTGCACGATTAATCGAAAAAAGATCACGATCTTGATTCCACCCTACACACAATCTCAATTCAGCTTTTCTACGACTTAGCCAATTCTATTTTCAAGGTCAGGAGAGAAGCAAGGGAGTCTTCACAGCAACACTGATATCTTTAAATGGTGTTAAAAGTGTCACATACTGTATTTCTAAGGTATAATTCACCTAAAAATGTAATTTCTGTCTTCATGTAGTAATGTATTTGTGGCTGCGAAATCACACATGAGCTGACCGCAAGCTGTTTGTTTACTATCGAGAACGCGCGTGTGCACGCATGACGCCTACTCTAGTGAACACAACCTGCGTAGGCTGTGGATGACAGGTAACGAAGTTGTAAGTATTGTTTTACAAAATAAAAGAAGGATAAAAGAATGGCATCTTAACTTTGTCTTTTGTGAAATGGAGTAGCTGTTTAATGTAGCTATAGTAATTCGTACTCATCCAAAGTAGAGCCGCTGCACAAACAAACATTATGAATGCATGTTACACTTCTGACTGTACAGTGTATTTTCTTTTTCTCATAATGCAGAGAGTTTTGAGGTAAGGGACGTTTTCATTAACCATTCACCAGACTGTTGAACAGGCTCATGCAGTTCATTTATGCACGTAATGTATGCCATAGTTTTATAATTTTTTACGTTGGTTATGTGGCGGATGTTGCTCTCTCTCTCGCTCTCTTGCTCTCTCTCTTGTTAATATACTTAAATACATGTGCTATATGACAATAAAAAAGTGTATTTAGTCTTTAAGTATGAGATTTAAGGTTTGGGACTCTGTTAAAGTCTGTTCTGAAATAAAAAGCATCTGAGTTTTGAGGTAAGGGACGTTTTCATTTACCATTCACCAGACAGTCGAACAGGCTCATGCAGCTCATCAAACTTCGTCTTTTAAAATCGAATTCAAAAGCAGAATATGTCTCCTCATAAAGCCAGCTTATCAGCGCGCTGCTACATTGAAAACATTTGATTCGATTCGCGCCTTCTGATTGGTTCTCAGGATATAGCGTTTTTTTGTGGTCAAAGGCAAGCGCGTTTAGAGGCTTTTGCAAACTAACTGTTATTTCCGAATGCGCTGACACTGGGATTTAGATGATTTCAAACAAAACTATTTGTTAAACGTACTACGTGCCTAAAGCATTCACTCAGTGTCATTAGCTCATTTTTGTTAAGCGGCTTTTGCATCTGAACTCTTCACTTGTTTTTTTTTTTGCTATTGACTATGACTATAAAGGTCAATGGTTTACAGCTTTCTTCAAAATACCTTCTTTTTAGTTTAACATTCAAAATAAACCCATAAAGGTCTGGTACTATTTGAGGATGAGTGAGTCATTATTTTGTTTTGGGGCAAACTATCCCTTTAACAATGCTTCCAACCTTATTTTTGCACCAATTCGCAAAAGCAATTATCAGGTAATGCTGCAAACAAGCCCATAAATCTCCACTGAATGCAATTTGTATGGCATAATCTTGGAGGCTAGTTAAGAGAATCCAGCAGGCTTGTTCTTTTCAGGGACTGCAATTCAGACATCAAAATAGTCTCTTTAAAGCAAAAAAAAAAAGAAAAAAAAAAAGCATCTGGATATATGCCCAGATACAACGCTCTTTTCAAGACATTTCAAAATATTTCCAAAAAGAAAAGCCTGCTAGGAATCCCACAACAAACTAAGTGTTAATATTGTGGGTCTCTCTCACTCTAATTCTGTCCCTCTCTCTTGTCTTTTTTGTCTCATCTTTGTCCCATTTGGCAGGAATAATAAGAGAGGGGGATTTAAACTTGGGCTCTTTTCATAAGGCTAAGAAAGATCTTTGTTCTCCTGGACTATATTGTAAGCCAGATGTGGTAAAACGAACAACTGCTGAAAAAAAAAGCGTGAATGGAAATCATTCACAGGTCCAACAATGTCGTCAAACCCATACATCACCATATATTTCCTGCCAATGATCATCACAATTCGTTAGCTCGTGTTTTGATTGTTTTTCTTTTCATTTACAACAGCTTAATATTGATGGAGGGTTTTTTCTTGGCTCCCAAAGTAGTCATGTTTGTACTCTAGTAGATGCAGGCTGTTTTTTTTGCTTTCTTTCTAGGTTTCAAGCAGTACTTTATCTTGAAATATCACTACACTACCTGACAAAAGTCTTGTCGTCAATCCCAAATGTAAGAGCAACAAATAATAACTGAACTTCTAATTGATCAGTTGGAAGTGGCAGAACTGCATCCCATTCATCACAAATACTGCAAAAGACCTATTAGAACCTGCATGGACCCAAGACTCTCACAGAAATCAGTCAAGTTTGGTGAAGGAAAAGTCATGGTTTGGGGTTACATTCAGTATGGGGGCGTGTGAGAGATCTGCACCAGGCCCGGCGCCAGGAAGTCAAAACTGAGGGGGCACTTTAAATCCATAGGGGGGCACTAGACCTGGTGACTGATTTTGGTCTCTTGTTTCTTTCATTTAGGCTATTTATTCGCATTTATTATTACTTTGCATTACTGCCTAAGTTACTGACCTAAGGCAGTAATATAGGCTACGTTTTAATAGTAATAACAATACGCAGTTTCGCTATTACGAATTTTATTAACGATGGTAATGCATACCGCTTATTAATGCAGACTGATGGTGGCTTCAGTGCCAAACGAGTGCTTTAAATCATATGTTATTCTCCTTATTTCCGTTTTATTTCAAATAACAGCCCTATGAATGTTTAAAGTTTTAGGTAAAGACGTCAAATTATGCCCACACATGCAAGCTGACCCACGATCAGACAATTCATTTAACCGGTAAATAAATATAGTGAAATCAGCTTAACCGAGACATCACGCTTCACAACCAACATCAGTGTTGGGGAAAAGCTAAATGTGACAATCTAATGTCATTCAAAACAATTACTTAGTTACATTTTAAGGCATTAGTGTAGCCAGAAAAATACCTAAAAAAGATACAAAAATTCACAGTTATTACCGTGAAAATTGGTTAAATTTTTATATGCTGTATAACTTTTTTTTTCATCAATTTAAATGTAAAAACAAAGATTTGTCTAAGGCTATTATAAATGTGCTTTTTTCGTGATATAGTAAACCATCATAAACCATATGTACCATAGTTTCTAGGCCTACCCGTCATTTTATTTATTAATTATTTTATTTATTAGGCCTTTTTTAATAGCTTGTTTTCAGGTTATTTTCATTTTAGGGCCATGAGCTAATTCAAAACAAACTCGATGTGTTGTATTTTAGCTCTCAAAACAGATCTACAATATATTTTATGTTGTTTAATTTTGCATGAGCAAATAGCAGTATAGCCTAAGTTACATACTTTTAAAAGATTATGATTCTGCCTACCTGCAGCGCACGAAATTTCTCGGTTGATCCGCGGTAAATCCACTTAAGCACTATACCTATTCCATTTATAACACTGCAAACTTGACTTCGCAGGCCGATCATCTTTAAACGCAAAATGCATTTATTATGTGTTATACCTTGACTGCAGTTGCATAATGGGATGTTTCTCTACGCAACTGTAAAAGTGCACTTTTCAGCAAAATGAAAGCAAACATTCAAAGGGTTCTGCGTTTTGTCAATTTTAGCTTAATTGTAATAATATTAATAATAATATTAATAAATAAATTAAAATATTATTTATAGTGTAGCCTACTGTGGGACTGTGCAGTAAACTATTTATTTTTATTAAAACATTTTTATTAGGCTACATCTTCCCGAATAACTAATAAATGACTGGCAGTTGCGTCTCTGCTAAAATTAATTTAACAGCAAATTTCTTATGTGTTTTTTCCTTTTAGAGCTCAAGAGAGTTGTGTTTAAATAATTAGTTAACCAAAACATGTAATGAATTAAGCTGCTCCTATCATGTCACCCATTTTCTCCCTTGTGAGTTGAGTGCGCCTCCATCGCCGTGTGCGCGTTTTAAAGGCTATTTACGGGCGCACCAGACCTGACGCGGGGACCGGATCTCTGGACTATAGGACTAGCTTTAACCTCACCATTTTCATAATTTAATTGCTATGTCATATATTTTAAAATATTTAAATGTGTGTTCTGAAGGTTGGAAGGACGGGAGTGTTAATAATTAATGACAGAAAGAATTTTCAGTTTGAGTGAACAATCCTTTATAAAAACTGGGGGGGCACAAACTCTGTCTGAGGGGGCAATGCCACCCTTTGCCCCCCCGTAGCGCCGGGCCTGATCTGCACAGACCACAGGAGAGGGAAATTCTTCAGCAGGATAGTGCTCCTTCTCATACTTCAGCCTCCACATCAAATCTACTGAAAGCAAAGAAGGTCAAGGTGCTCCAGGATTGGATAGCCCAGTCACCAGACATGAACATTATTGAGCATGTCTAGGGGAAGATGAAGGAGGCATTGAAGAAGAATCCAAAGAATCTAGATAATGTTTCCACTGCAGCATGACTTTATATTCTATACTGGACATCATTTCTGTTAAGTGACTTTTGTCTAAGGAAAGTCAGATCTTACTGTACTAATTGAATAACTAAAAATCAATGCATGATCATACTTTATTTTGGTCAAATAAGCGTAATCTAGAGGCCTTTGCCTTTCATATAAGCCACTTCTGATACCAAATGATCAACTAGAAGTCAAGTTATTATTTGTTGTTCCTAAAACTTGGATAGGAACTACGACTTTTCTCAGGTAGTGTATACTTAAAGTACATATGGCTCGTAATTAGAAGCCACTGAGTAGATCAAAGCTCATGTATATGTTTAACTCACTAATACGTTCAAGACCTGCATTTCATGAGGACATTATTATGGGATTAGTTACTTTACTTACAGTGAGTAAAGCCGTTGCCTTAAGTGAAATCAAAACTAACCATATGATATTGTTAGCTCACATTGTTTTGTTGTAAACAATTCATCTGTGCATGTCATTAAAAACTAGCCTGCCCTTGTAATCTTTAATTGAAATCTGAAAATGCATTTTTGTTTTGTTTGTTCTCAGTTCAATTCTCAGATTTGGTCTGTCTGAGGTATTGGGATAATAAAAACAAAACAAAACAAATAAAAATAAAACAAATAAAACAAGCAATTGGTCCCTTTGTTCCGACCACACTGCAATGACAACCACAAAAGTATCCCATAACTGTTCTCAGTAGTACATACCTTAGGTCCAGGAGTCCCTGGGGGTCCTGGTTTTCCATGCGGACCAGAGGGTCCCTGCAAAACAACACATGTTCACTTGTATTTGTGTGCTGTCTGCTCCATAGTTACTGTGCAATCACTACAGGACACTTAAGCTGGGTCACTCGCAGGCTTTGACCCACATTATTGTTTTTCCTCTTGCCAAACAAGAAAGGGCCAATAAAAAGGCAAGGACGCAAAGGAGTGGGGCACGTGAGAAAAGTAAATATACAAAGAAAAAATTTGCAAAAATAAACAATCAAGAACTTGAACGTTTTTTAAGCACGTGGCAATCACTTCTGTCAGCTTAATAGATGCTATCAAGCACCACATTAACGCTCAGAGTTTTGTGTTGTTCAGCTGCAAAAAATAGAAGCCGCTTCTAAAATATAAATTTCAGGTGTTGGTTGGGACAAGAACGTCTTGTAATATGTTCCTTTTATCTTTTGGCATTGCTTTTATTTAGAACACAACGTAAATCAGCACTAAATCAGCATTTAGGCTTGATAGTCAGGCACCGTCCTATTGGTGTCGTCTATCTGGCAACCTGCGCTTGCGTGGACTCGTCAGAGGAGGAGCCATGTGAAAATGTATTTTGAAATAGAAGTGCAATACCTAGTTCAACCACTGGGTGTCAAACTTACATACTGCACCTTTAAGATATCTAAATCGATTTGCGTTAGAACAAAAATGCTGGGTTCCACGCAACTGATTTTTGTTGGGACAACATGAAGGAAATAATTTAACTCAGTTTTTACAAATTTAGGTGGATTGAACATAAAACTATTGAGTGTAACATCAGTATCAGTTATCACATCTTCATGATGGCCATTGGGTTTTGCAGTTTGTTGTTTAAGATCACTTCCATTTGGTCTGCTTTGTTAAAAGAGCATATAAGTCAGCTGTCCTTCTCGTTCTCTTTCTCCTCAAGCCCCCTGGTCACCGCTGGAAAAGTGAGCTAATGAAGTAAACCATGTCCATATGTTTTATGCCAAAGCATATGCCAGAAGTACCTTTTAACACACAACACTTTCTTGTTAAGTGGAGGACAATTTTCTGAATGTATGCCTTGGGCAAACTGTGCTACTTACGTACTTCTCACAAGCGCCAGAATAATAAAACGCGTATGAGGTATTTAAACATTTCTCTGTTCCTTAACTTGAACTAAGCTGCTTTTCTACGATTCTGACAGGCAACTTTAAAGGACTAAAGTTAAAAAAAGCTCCCCTATAAGTCTATTGATTAATTGCCCTGACTTAATGTGATTTTTATTCCATTCTCTTTTTTTTTTTCTTTTTTACGACTTTTTGTTTTAGATCTATAAATGCATCCACATGCACATGCTTTTGAGGTATTCACTGAGCTGCCACTGCAGATTCATCACTGCATTAAGGTCAAGTTAATTAAGTAAAAATTGCTAACATAAATACAGCCAGATACTGCTTCTGTTTATATATACACTGCAATTTATCACTCTTTTAAACAAACAAACAAAAAAACACACATTTGTTTAAACATTTTTAATATTTTATGGAAGATAGTGTTTTGATTGATTGATTGATTGATTGATTGATTGATTGATTGATGGATTGATGGATTGATGGATTGATTGATTGATTGATTGATTGTTGTTGTGACATATTTTGTTAATGCACTGTAAAAATCAATTAGTTGACTGTAATCATAGTTAATTGTAAAAACTGCCTTTAAGTTTTTAAGTAGATTGACTTTCTACATAATTATACAAATTAAGTCAACTTAACAGTTCTTAAGTAAAGTCAACTCGTCACTTTTTGTGCAAAACTTTTACTCACTTTTTAATTAAAGTATAACTGACTGCTGATGTTTATTTTCATATGCACCAATTATGAATATAAGCACTAAAAGTGTGGTGAATGTAATCTGCATGATGCAATTCTCAATTATCTTAAAGATATAGTTTGTAAATTTGACACCTGCACTCCTGTTTCAAAACACACGCAAGTGCAGGTTGCCAGATTGCCGACATAAACAGGAGCGTGCCTGACTATGGGCTGATTTATACTTCTGCTTTAAGCAGCCTATATCTGAGCGACGCTTTTTGTGTGTCTGTGGCAGTTCGTTAATATCGCTCATGTGTGTGTGTTGTATGTGCTTAGGCCCTGAGGAGAATCTGGATCTGGTTTCCCTGTTCTGTTCCTGCCCTGAGTTCTGCGTCCCTCTAGCCTGGCACTTTCTGGTCTATTGTCAGATATAATAAACATTTTTCACTTGCACTTGGATCCTCTCTGACCTTTATTTACACGTAACAGTGACTTAAAGCCAACACATATCAGTGATTCATCATGTACATTTAATAATGTTAAAGAGGTTTAATATGTATTAATTAGATGATTGAAGTGCAGTGAGTGCACTATTCTGTGCTTCTGAAGGGCTGTGTTTAAATTTCTGCAAACCACCAAATTGCTTATCACTGCAAATCTCAATACACAGTGTGTTGTTAGAACACGGGTTACCGTGTAACCTGCTCACATAATGTTTAAATTCTTAATATTTATATAATAGGCTAACTAATAATCCACTCATGTGGAACTCTGAATCTGTGTCTCATTTCGCAGTCTGCCACTGTTGCATTTCAGTCAAAGACGCATACTTTGAGAGTCTTCTTGACTGAATGAATCAAATACTCTGTTTTCCACAAAGGCAACCAGGGGTGCTGAAATATAATTGGCTAAACTGGCATTATGCGGGTTAAATGACCAAAACAAAGATAGAAATTTCGGCATATAATGCATATTTTCAAAGCAGAATATCTGACTTTAGCATTGTATTTCAGATAAACAAGAATGTTGACTTAGCATGTTTCTTAAATATCTGCAACCATATTGTGGTATTTTTATGCTTTAGAAGAGTCAAAACTTACATACAGCACTTTTAAGTAAGTAGTGAAGGATTCAAGACCACAATCTGGCCTATTTTAGTGGGACTGTACAGTATCCAGACACTTCAACAGCACTTTAAAATTGCCTAAAGTGTGCTCCACCATATTTCATTTTTGTTTATACACTAGTTACGCAGGTTATAACTCTTCTCTATCATTTAATCATCATTTGATGAATTACTGCCAACCAAGATCTCTAGAAAATATACACAAAGATTAATCACAAATGAAATACTGTTTACAGTTTATTGGCGCAACCTTATTTCAGCACGTTTAGTGGCTCTTAAAAGGACTGGAGGTCAGAATTTGTGTAGAAAGAAACACTGTGGAGTTGTTCGCCCTGTGTTTCATAATGGGAAAATTAATTACAACCAATTACCCAGAATTTTCTCAGCTAAGTCATTCTCAGATATGAATTTGAGGATTGTTTGGGTAACACTTTCATTTAAGGTGACATAGTCACATATGTCTAGGCCCACACGGAATCTGCGCGTGCAGAATTCCGCAGAATTTCAGCAGATTTTTTGCAGATTTCTGCAGATTTTTAGCCCATTATTAATTCTGTTTTTTAACTTGAGTAAATGTGTAAATCTGAATTTATTCAGTTTTTATTCAGTAATTTATTACTTTTTATTTAATATATTAAGGGTTTAATTATGATACTCCGCTGGATACTCCCAAAATAATTCCGCACAAATCCGCAGATTTTTACCAAAATTCTCAGCAGAAATAGCAAAAAATGTCCGCAGATTCCGTCTGGCCCTGCATATGTCCCATGCACTTACTATAGTACTTACAATGAATTATGCATAATTACATGTAACAAGCCTTAAACCAAATCTACATTTTAACCCCAATCCACATTCTAACCATAAAGTAAATACATGTAATTAATTAATATTGCTGAATAGGGTATATTAATAGGGTAGCACAAGGGCTCAGTGGTTAGCACTGTCACCTCACAGCAAGAAGGTCGCTGGTTTGAGCCCCGACTGGGCCAGTTGGCATTTCAGTGTGGAGTTTGCATGTTCTACCAATGTTAGTGTGGGTTTCCTCCTGATGCTCCGGTTTCCCCCACAGTCCAAAGACATGCGCTATAGGAGAATTGATTAACTAAATTGGCCATGGTGTATGAGTTTTTGTGTGTGTGAATGAGTGTGGAATAGTTGGTGCTTCATTCCACTGTGGCGACCTCTGAAATAATAATGAATCCAAAGGAAAATTAAAGAAAGAATGAATGAAGAATCATGATGCATCAAATTTTATGAATGTGAACTAGGTTTAACACATATTTATAAAATTGTGTGAACGATTTTTGAGAAAAATGTATCTTTTGTGTATATAGAAATAGTTTGACATCTTTGAGTTCAGCTCAAGAAAAATGTGAGCATAAATAAATCGCTTATATTTTTGTTGAGTGTACAATCCAGTTCTTTGCATTGCCAATGCTAAAAAACCCTCACTTTAAACATTTTCAAGAAGCAAGGCCCGGCAAAAATATTCCCTCAAGAGCGTGGGTAAACATTAACAGGGGCCTCCTTTGAGCCAGGTCAGGGAACTCCACCATAAATCAGCCATTCTCAAATATATGAGGCAGAAAGTGACAACCACCACGTGCGTCTGCCCACACCAGTGCCTGCTGGTGGACTGAAAGGGAGCGCGAGAGATTAACCAATATGTAACCTGATAGCTTTCTTGATACTCCTCTCTCAATCTCTTCTGATCACTAACCACCGCCACATGTGCAAAACCTGACCAGACGTAAAAAAAGCAAAGTGGAAATCTGTACATGAGCTTCTTGTAAGTGTCTCCATATGGGCGGTTTGTGTGCGCTCAGCAGGATGAGCGATGAATAAGAGCCCCACTCATAGTGAACCCCAGGTGGGTCATATATAAATAACAGCGCTGCCTTGACAAGTAGGCTTAGCATTGACTCTTGGCTCTTGCTTTGTATTTTTAAATCTTTGTCAACCTCGCGTATCATTTGGCAGCAAAATAGGAATAATTTCAAGGGAGGTTGTCAGTTTTTGTTCCAAATTTATTTTATTTTTTTAGAGATTCAATTTTAGGATTCACAGTTGAAGTCAACTTTGTTAGCCCTCCTGTTATTTTGTTT